GCCGTGAAAGAAAGCCTCGGCGATGTTGGTCATGGTGAGGAAAAAAAAAATCGGACGTTCTTCATTCGTGCAGAAGTAATTCGCTTTTCGATTGTGCGGTTCGCGGTTTACGCGGCAGATGCAGATGCGAAATAATGAGAAGATAGCTTTTGCAGAAACTGGATATTAATCTAAAGGCTATATTGAACGAAAGATTCATTGAATTATTATAATTTTACTACAATTTTGAAGGATTATAGAATCCTCCTTCTACCTCTTCTTTTAACCATTAAAATAATTAAAGCATTATGTAAGATAATTATATACATTAAAGAAAGTTTGCCTAATAAGATTTCAAGTCTACGCAACATAAATGTCGGTTTATTTACCGAAAATCGTCACCATGGGCAGAAATATTTACGTATAACTTTGCTACTTTTCTTTTTCAACTGAGCAGTCACGTTTCTATCGCGAATGAATTTCACATGTATATTTTCGTTGGTAAACGTCTACGAATTAATTATGAATCACATTGTACTTCGCGACCGTGCGAAGCGAGTTAACATGAGTTAGTTCCAGGTTTATCTGCTTTCCTGCGGCGATTATTATGGCTCTATATTTACGTATGTGCGAATATAACGAAGTAACATGAGGAGATACACAACGGAGTATGCCTATGACTGAAACGATGAGAATGATAATGGAGTAAGTGAATAATTGAAGAAACGTAAATGACCGCAAGACAATTTCACTTCATAACATGCAGGCTGTAGAAACAGTCAAAGATAATTGGCAGGAAAAATTACTAGTGCGTTAATCGAAAGATGTGAAATGATTCTTACAATGTAACAGAAAAATATAAAAGCTTCATATAGAATGTAGGACGAAAGGAGCGAATATAAAACAAAGAATCGTTTGAAAGATCCTTCTTCTGTAAAAAACTGCAATAAAAATCCTGACAGAATATAGAAATATTGTGGAAACTAGAAAAGTTGCTTGAAGCTTAGATAATAAAAAAGTTTTCATTATTCGGAAACGTGACTGACACAGTAATCTTTGATTTCTTCGGTCATTTTTCACCGCAAAAATCCGCGGATTTTCAGGTTCAATAACCGTATTATCGAAATATTGTATACCAACGGAGTGATCGATAAGACGCAAACTATAATACGGCCGTCAAATCTCGAATTTAAAAGTTCAAAATGAACTTTTAATCAGTTCAAATAATTTATTTAATTCATTCACTTGATTTATAAAAATTATAATTTATATGGAAATCATCAAAATTTACAGATATATTAAAATTTCAATGTTCACGGTTTTTATTCATTTTTCCGACCTATTAAACGATAACCTTCCAGTATGTACGTCATAGTACAAATTAGTCTCTCACAAACAAAAACACTTAGATCATTCATCTCTCTTTCTTTCATTATGCTACCGAAAGATCCTATAAAGTTCAAAAGCGCCGATTTACACTGTAATTTGCTTGGCAATCCACAGGTGCGCTTTTGTTGATGATTTCTTTTTTCAAAAATAGTATGTTACTGGCGTAATCTTCAGCCGAATTTCTCGGAAGGCTACTTTTGTGCATGACGTGCGATCGTTGATCGTAACATGCGATCATCGTTAACACATTGAATCACACATGATCGCGTGATACAAATATATTTAAAAACTGTTATAAATTCTATATTCTTATCCGATTATTCTTTCCTTTACCACTTTGTGTTTTGATTCAAAAAGCAGAGTAAACAAAATGCACTTTTATCAAAAAAGCAATGCTGTTTTGTAATATTTTAAATTACATGATATGTTTATTCTACTTTGTAGAAATATAGGATATAAGTCACGCGACTTAAAAATATTGTAATTCTATATTTAGATGAAAATGTTCACATTGTACACTTAAAAAATTTATTTAAAAAAAAGGCATTCAAAGCCTGCGTTACACAAGCCTGTTGAGTGCATTTGAAAAAGCGTTTCGCTGTTTGTCTTAAGCAATAAATTATGAAAATGTATATAGAATCTTAAAGAGTTTTAAGGATTACCATTTTATATATTATGCTATTAAAACGCCATCCTCGGGCATCACCTCGCTCATTTTTTCAAACATACACCTGCATATAAAGTATCGAATGTTACCGAGCTTCAGGCATCGCGCTTGCGGTCATCAGGAAAAACTTGTCCGACTGGTCAAGCATAAAATACATCGAGTCTATTGACACGAGAACCAACAAGAGCAAAGCACTTGGAAGAGCACGAGACTGCGGTGAAACGTACAAACTCTTAATAAATTGCCTTTTTCTGATATCACCACAGCACAAAATTTACATAACACGAACTACATGTCTTCTTACAGTTTCCTGTTCTAATGAAAAAAAAAAAAGAAAAAAAAACAGGTTCAAGTTTGTATATTTATAAGTAACGCGTGCAGTATCTGCTAACAATAAGTAGGGCTTATATTATATATTGACTCTCCAACTAATATTCATTCATAAGATCATAATGCAATGCGATGATTTAATTCGCGTGTTATATTGTACAGCGAATAATATAGATGTGGAAAGAATGCATAAAATAGTAAGTTACGATAAAACTAATTATAACTAATTACATGATAAACACGGAAAGGAAACATTGTCACGGCATAGTTCCGACTGATAGCCGGCCGCTCAACCGCCACTGAGAAACGGGTCAAACAGGTGTGACAGAAGGTCTGGTAGATGTGTGCTACATTTAAATAAATATGTAACCATCACATTCGCCGCAGATAAACATTCATGCGAGTTGACAGTTCGATGGCAAAGCTATGACACGTATTTTTTCATACGTAAATTATTTTACGATATATTTGCAGTATGATTGTTATTTACAATATTATTATATATATATGTACACTTTGATAAACTCAAATAAAATGAAGATAATTAAAAATTGTTTTAAATTTTCAATAGTTTAATGTAAACTGTTAACATACTTAAAAATAGAAAATAATTGTCAAGAAAGAAAAGTAGGAATTTTAAATAAACGATTATAAGCAACAAGAAATAAAATAAAAAAAAAACAATCAAATAATTAATTTTATATCTAACATGTGACATTGTATTAGTTAAGGTAGCTATGGTAAAATATCGTATACTTTTTATTAAACTACTCGTTCACTCGGTTGTATTATACGATGACTACTTTACACTTTCGAGGCCACCAATGGAATGTTGTTACTCAGCGATGATAATACAGTTCGCTGATTATCGTGCAGCTCGAAGCCTCCTCAGGGTCACTTAAGTTACATCGTAATGATGCCCAGGCGTCGAACCGGTTACGGTCCCGCGGACCCTAAGGCCCTGCCACTGCACTTATTTGGCTCCGAGACCGCCCTCCATCACTAAACCGATCGCGAGGCAGACGAAAATAAGAAGAAAAGGGCACGAAGGAACCCACAAAAATTCACCACGCGCTCGCTCGCACCTGGTTCGAAGATGAAAACACGTAGTCAAACTGGCTCAAGCCCTTAACCACAAGGAGAGACTTCAACAGCTCTTATAGATATGCTGCTTCGGAATAATCTGTATATGTCTACACAAAATATCTATAAATGAATCGTCATCGCATAAATATGTGCAAGCAATTATTGTTACCACACAGCTCTATAAATACTACATTGTATTGCATGTGAACTATATAGTTAACATTAATTACCGTTCGATATAATTCACATACTCGGGAGTTTAGATCGATGTTAACCTCACGAGTATACAATACAACAAATATTCGCGTTGATCCGCCCCCGTAATTTTTAATTCGTTCTATTACCTCGACGACAATGGAACGACGATACGTCGTTCTCAACTCCTTCCTTTCGATAACGCTGCGATTGTAAGTACCTCCGGAGTGCACAATACACCAGATAGTCGCGCTCTACTTTCAAGAAGATACAACACCCCTTTGCGCCAAAGGGGTTGGACTTATAAATCTAACGATAAATCTATCACCAGCAAAAGCTGACCGATATCGCGCTTGTGGCCGGTTGCCAAAACCATCCCGCAAATCTTGTATTATACAGTCGCATGCAGGACATTCTCTTTCCTCCTATTTTCGCATAGCTGTGTGTATCCGACCACCATTGTTCAGCTCCTCTCTTATTCTCTTTCTCGAATGAGCAAGCCGTAAGAAATACGATTTATTCTAGTAACATATTATTTTTTCCGTTTGTTACTTGGTCGTTATTTGCGGTCAGAAAGCGAAGCCCTTCGAGCGAATCCTCAAGGACGGATGCTTCCTACTCATAAATAAGAATGTCTATAAACTCTCCGCAAGATATTCGACGCGCGCTTTCATATTTACATTCATATCTTATTATGCAAATGACTGAATTCAACAGTAGTCCATTATTAACACGGAGAAATTAAAAAATAGGATATGATAGACTGAATTTCATTCATTGAGAGAGTGTATTTCATTACATTTTATTTGTATAATCAACTAGGCTCGATGCTATAGGATCTCTTGTTAACTTCTTTTGAAATAACAAATTTATTCCAGAATTGTAAATGATTGTATAAGCAACGTTGAAGTTCCGATGCCGCAGACTCGCACGTCAACCACTCTACTAAATGGAACGTTTGCATGTCGACAAATTGTATAACATTGTTACTCGACGATGTCCACCTATGATATTGCAAAGTCTCACACTCCCATAGGGGAAGGTAAATAGGTGGTGATCCTGCAAACTATCGTTCAGTCGCAGTCAGTAATATGCGTGTAGATCGTCGAAGCAACATGTACCGTGCCATAATTTGTCGTTAATTTCTTTCACATTTCTTCCTGCAGTAAAACTTGGTTCAGTCGATGCTTATTACATCACACTAAAGTTCAAGGAAAGTGTACAAGTATTTGAAAAACACAAGAATGTGTGTATAAAATTTTTTTAAGTGCGTTAAAAAGAGATTTGGATTCGCAGATTGTATAGAAAACCGATCAATCTTTTATGCATCGCACTCTTCTACTAACGTTGAACGATGTCTAACATGTACGATATGAGAACAGTACACATGCAGAAACCGCGTATTCAAGTGGATTTCGTTGCAACAACTAATCCTACCAAAATGAACATCATTGTATCAATCATTCCCGCAATCGTGCGTAACGTTATGGACTTCACGCTACTGATGGCAGGCATTAGCCTAAATGCCTGTCTCAGTCTCTTTATCGTATTGAATTCAACCATGCACACGTCCACTAACTGTTACATAGTGGGTCTGGTATTATCGAATTTTGTAATCCTGCTTGAACCACTTGAGCGAGTACTCAGCTGGATTTTCGGTATACATTTAGAAATGAATCTCGACTACGTATTTTTGATGAGCTTCAGCACGTCCGTCCTGACGATAATTTTATTAAATATTGAGACGTACGTTGTTGTTTGTCAAAAACGTTCGCACCTTCTCAAGCCGCTTTTAAAGATTTCGACAGCTGTGAAAGGAATCTTATTTATATGGGCAATGTGTTTAATGGCGACAGCCATAGAATTACACTTGTACGATCATTTCGTGAAAGAAATTACATACGACATTTACGTTTCGTCCACTATTATGTTCGTAATATTCCCGTGTTTCATTTTCGTTTTACTTGATTACTTTATCTTATATGATCTGATAATGTTGAAATCAAAAACTGGAATGTGGTCGAGCAAAGATATGGAGCGCTTTATTTTTCTGGGTACGTAAAAATTTGATTTTAATGCAAATATAGCAATTATCTTCGTAGATCTTTTCCATTTGTTTTTTTTTATACTAAGACAACTTTTGTGTTGCACAGTTGGTGTTAATATTGGTTTCTTCCTAACTATGGTACCATATCGAATTGCGAGAGCTCTCACTCTCGCAACACAATCTTACAATATCAATATGGCAATAGAGATAACTTATATGATGATTAAAATGTATCCGACAATCCTACCAATAATATGTTTCGTAACATTGAAAGAGTTTCAAGTCCCTCGAGGTTAGTAACACACATATATATTAATTAATACAAAAATAATTAACAATTTTCTATTTCAGACAGAACTATATTATCAACGGCTTAAAATCTCATCATGACATAAAAAATATTCTGATATATGAGAGAGATCAAAGTATATTCATGCAATTCTATTAAAGTAATCTATCCAAATTTTTGGTAATCTCTAATCTGCATTTTCTTGTAAAGATTTATCCATTGTATGCATCTTTGAGTAATTTATTATTCTTAAGAAGAAAACTCGTACATGCGATAACCAAGCACATCCGCTCTCATGGGAGAAAAAAAAACCGATGTGCAATCTGCACACAAATTTTTGAATTCACTGAGCTTTCTGTATGCAAATTAGTGTTTCCATTTAATTTTTTCTTTCAAAAGTCAAACTAGCATTGTACTTAGAAACCATATATATAAAGTAAAGAAATATATATATGTATAGTATTTTATTTTATAAACATTATGTGTATTTAGATATTATTTATAAAATATAAATTTTACAGTATTATTTTCATATAATTTTAAAATATTATGTAAAATTGTTAAATATATGTCTTATAACAATAATAATAAGTTAATGTTTTAAAAACTTCCGTTAAAGTATAATTTACTGCTTTTATATTGTATATTCATCAAGCACCTCGTTGAATTAAGATTACACATCGGGTAAAAGGTATTTCCTACAATCTATTCAGCTGTAACGCAGTACTTCCTTTCTAACGAGAAGGCGCGTTTATCAAATCGAGGATAAACGGAATTTACAATTTATACCAAGCGGCTTGTCTGTCTCTTCGCGTTTAAGAATTCCTCTCGCGACTTGTTTCGTATTCCTTCCTTCGCGATTTCACGACAAGATCTAAACAAGAAGGTATGCTAATAAGAAAGTGTGCATTTTTAAATATACAAATGCTTGTAAAGATCAAACATGTGTATATTTAAAAATGTAACATAAAATTACTGATAAAGATTTGTTCACATTTAAGCGTTTATAGCATTTTAAAGATTAATTATCGATTATAATTAATGTTTTAAAGAAAGTGTTTTATCTAATGTATCGTAAACGGTATTATTCTGAAAAGTAATAGAAACTTAGAAATTAGTAAAACTTTTAGTTTGATCCTTCTTTCTTACTTTTAGTTATTCTACTTTCCAGAAAATGCAAGATTAAAAAAACAGACTTTATAAACATAATTTTGTGTAAGCTTCTTATAAAAAATTGAAAAGAAAATATTTGAAAGCAATTTACGTTTCTTTCCTTATACATATACATAAATAATCTTTATAAAGTACAAAGATATTTATGTATTATTGTCAATAAGATATATCCTATTTGTTGTTGCTGCAGAGAGAAGGAAGATCACAAAGAACCAGGAAACCGGTGAAGCAGAACAAACGCTCATACAAACTTCCGATTCGAGGAACGCGAACTGAGTTTGCTTTTTTAAATGTGTACATACATTCCTGAAACAATTGAGCTTCAGATTTTCAATGTTTAGATCACAATTAGAAAGAAAAATATATTGTACAATTAGTCACACAAAATATAATTAATATTAAATCTCTATCATATTTAGTACTTAAAACTGCTTGAAAAAAGTATAATTTAACAAAAACATACACTTATATATTATAAAAATTTATATTGTAATAAATTATTATATTACGTTAAATAAAATAACACTTCTTATAAAAGTTATAACAAGAGATTCATGTTACTTTCTGCATGTGAATTTTAAATTAAAAACTATCATGTAAGTATTGATATTTTTCCCATTTTCAGAATCAAAAACTATATTTGCTTTTACTAAAATTATATTTTAAATCTTTTTTTCTTTGTAGCATTACTGTATTTTAATGTATACATTTACCATAAAAAACTGTTAAATTTATTTTGTGCATCTAACTTTCGTTATTTATCGTGCGTTGATAAAAACTTTAATGTCATTGCTGATATTTATAAAAATAGATTGCAGCACAAGAAAACTAAAGTAATATAGAGTATTGAAATGTAAAAAAAATCATTTACCCCGTTATTGCTTTTGTAATTTAGTTTAGAATGACTAGATTTTCAAAATGAAAAAACGGTACGCGAGCAAAGCGAGCTAAAGAATTGTAAACATGCTTATCGATTAATTGATATTTGGTATAGGAGTCAATGAAGGTCGAATAATTTTCTAAGGAGATTTTTTACAGCGCCATAGCAAATAGTCTCATTTATTGCGATATAACGTATAATATTGATTTGATTATTATATTTATACGTGCTAAATTGTATATGCGTTAAAAAATTATCGGGACAACGGAATACGATTAAAAAAAACGGGACAATCCCGTTAAAAATGGGACGTCTGATCATTTTATAATTTAGTTGAATAATACTATAGATAGTATATGGTATCGATCCCTTATGAAACAAAGAAAGTTTCTAACTTTCTCTATTTATTTGTATCTCGTTAGATTTGTGTTAATCTTTGTTTAAACCTCGTCTATCTAATTTACTTCTCCAAACATACAAGAAATCGGAAACATCGTTTTGTGTGTGCAATAAAAATGTTAATCTAGAGAGTTTATATTATGAGCATGTACTCGCGCGCGTCCTTACAGTCCAAATTTCGCAACAATGTTACGAACAGTTTGCTTGCGGCGATGCATCAGCCTAAATGACTCTGTAGTTGGCGTTCTATAAATACATACCGCGAACGATTTAAAAATGCAGTGACAGTAATAGCAAACGCTTGTAACCGCGTTGAAATATTTTTAGCTCCGTCTCGTTGTCTCAAAAGCACGAAAAGATATAAGAATTATAAAATGCTGCGGGCTGTGAAAAGCAATTGTTGCGCGTAGCGAAAATCGAACTAGGATTTAGGTACCGAGACCGGTGTTGCAGGTGTAGTATACATATGCATAAACGCATCGCTGAACCAGGGGACATGGGAAAGACGCCACTCTGTTTGCGGTAGCCAGCGGAACGGATGAATGCGAATCGAACGTAACATTCAACGCAACGTGTGAATGAAGCGACCGAGTAACGCGGATAGAAACTCCATTCAGACTCACTACTGGAAAAAGTAGCGCGGACTGTATCGACCGCAATCAACATCAAGTTTGATGTGGGGACCAACTTACACCCGAACAAACACCAAATTACATGTAACGTGCATGTTAGTTGTAATATCCGACGCAACAATATAAACTGTAATGTAACACACGTGTTTACTGGGGGATCCTTGGGTAGTCGAAATATATGTATGTAGTCGTAATTATTAATCTTCCGACAAAGACGAATGTACACACTTTTTCAGATTGTTTTTGAAGTGATTGGAGAAATAGAAAATCGGCCATAATACAATAAAAATGCGATGGAAAAATGTGTCAAAGATGACTTTAGTAGTCGGTATAAAATTAAATCAGTCTTTTCTCTTCAGAGGGAACAGTGATTGTTACTATTACTACAATGATTGTGGAATATAAAGAATCCAACAACACCGGATGCTTTTCTAAACGTACCATACGCAATTTATGAAACTTCCTCTCTCGACATAAATTAACGTGACCTTTATTTTCACGCTAGCTTATCCAAACACCGATAGGCCCTGCGTTTTGTGCATCATGGGGAAATGTTTTATCAAGTGCGGGCGCCTGAAAAGCCTCAAGAAATTTTTAGCGGGTGCAGCTGTCCTGAGTAATGAGTTTGGAAATACGGTGCAAGCCTTGCGCAAAATTTTTAACCTGTATGCTTCCAGATTGTGCTGTACATTTTATTTTAGGAAAGTCAAATAGCTGCTGCTAAAATAATTAACTCGTGAAAATTTATATTATAAAAAGTTGATTACAGTGAAATTTATATGTGTGTACTTAATGAATAAAGCAATACGCACACATGTATATATTCACGATTATTTGATAGAATAAAGAAATAATAAACTAACTAAATATTTGAAAAACGATAAACATGAATATTCAATATTAAAGAAGTTTTTAAGCAATATTTAGGTGCAAATATAAAAAAAGTAAGACAAAGAATTATACATTATCATATTTAAGCTTAATACTTTCGTCCAAGTTAAGTTTAGTAATCGTTACAGGTTCCCCGGAATCATTTCTGTTGAGTAAAGTCTCACAAAGTTTTAATGAAATCATAACCGAGAGATCCTGCGCGAAGTTATGCTTTCTTCGACATATTCCTCCTTTTGCTGCTTACATACAGCCGCAGACAAAATCAAGAACTTTACCCAAAGATCGTCAATATCTTTATGAAAATAATTAGATTAAAGTTTTCATGAAAGATAGCAAGTAATATTTATTTTATTATTATAATTTTGTCATAATAAAGATGTATAATATATTAATATATGCAATTAAAAATAAAAATCATTAACAAATGTATTAAAAGTGTAACATAAAAATTCGCATAATCGCGATCATAAATTAGTTTAGTCATCAAAACATGACTTGAAATATGGACGAGTGAAACTGACTGATGACCTCATTTTGTACTGTTATTAATTTCGTCGCATTTTAATTTTATCACACACATATTTTCATAATTATATTTGTATTACATACATGTATGTACTCACGCGGTTTTCTGTCATTCATATCGATCGAGCAGTCGCGTGAATAAATTATTTATAAATTCCTCTTCGAACGAATACACCATTCGAATCTCATCGTTTCACGTGCAAAATTACATTACGAAGATTATTAAAGGTCGGTACCTCCGAACATGATTATTTTTTGTTCCATTCTCTCATCGCTATACGATTTCGCGGTACAGCAATAAAGTTAAAGCGTGATTGAATGTTATATAAAGTAGCTTTGCACTATGTTGATATTTACTCCACGTTCACATAATTTGAGAGATGGTATGATTTATGGAATTAGGAGAAATTTACATTCGCTACACGAATTATTGCGTTATTTTGGTTAATTGAAAACATTTTGTATATCTTTTTCGACTATATATTTTCAATTTATTATTATCATCATTAATATCATTAATATTTAAATAAATTTTAATTATTTCTTGTTATTTTTTTGTTTTATTTTCACTAAATTATAAATATATATATATATATCTCTGTTGCGCATAAAGCACCATTGAATTAAACCACACAATACTTACATTATATTAAACGCTCTGCGCAGTATATGGGCGCTTCCTGACGAAACAACAGAATTGAGAAGCGATTCAGTGCGCATTCAGTGAGAATTTATATGAAGAAATGAATGGATCTTTCGTCGCTGTAACGAAGTTAATGTATGTTTTCGCCGTGTGTTGGAAAGCAAAAGGAATCTTTCTCCGTAATAAGATGAATAAGGCAGGGGAGCTATTGTTAACGAAGAATCTTTTGAAGTTTCTGGTTATGCGTTATGCCACCATGCAAACGTGAAGTAAAGTAAATGTGTAACAAAAGAATTTCAACAAGTCCATTGCAAAAAAAGAAAATAAAAACGTGGATAATAAAATCACAAAAAAAGAAAGACACGTCGTGTATGTTTCGCTCAATTTAAGTAATTTCACTTTATCTTATTTAAGTATAACTGCTTTTATGAAAAAAATTATGTCGAAAGAAACACGTTAATGAGTATCTAAATTTTTAACATCGCATCTTGCAAGCCAGCAGTTTTCTAGGCATTACTACTCTCATCTAAGAACCATGCTCGACGATTAATGCACCATCATGTGATACCCTATATATATATATCTACTGCCTAAGGCAATATGTAGGTGGGCGTTTTGTGACGAGGACCAGATAACGTCAGCATCACTGTGCAAACGCGGGATAGGCACAGAATGAAACGCTCTGTACAAATTCTTTGCTTAAAAAAAAATACCTAGCATGAGTCAGGCTCCACTGTGGTGAACGAAAAGGATGCTGCGCGAATATTTCGACACACATCTATTTATACATGCATGCTATAGTCATATAACGCAGCTGCCTCCAAATTTCACTTTTCATCATTATTAAATTAATTAATTAAAATCTCAGAGAGATATTTTATTAAAACTGAATAATAATTCTTATATAAAATTTAACTTATTCATTCTTAAAAACTGTAGCGTTTAATAATGATAGTAATGTAGAAAAATCAAAAGTTAAGTATCAAGAACTATTTATCTATAGTACCTACTCGGAAAAAGCTTAAGTAAGAAATTAAAATTATTCTAGTTATCTAATCTTGCTACTCACTTCCTCATAATTATCAATAACTGAGCATAATTATTTGCCCCATGTAAAATGATGCAGGCATCGCCGAGCTTATCGGCATCTAACGGTAAACATCGAACTATGATAAGAGCAACAAAGGCATACCATCATACACGTTCGCTTGATTTAATTAGATTTTAATGAAGGAACGTCTGGCACAATGCAACGGAACGACTCCCTTTATCCTCTGAAACGCTCCAACGTTATGACGTCTTCTGC